GTGAATGTAAAACCACCTGCTGCTCTGTTCTCCTCCTGGTGAGGATCTCTGTCTGTTTCTCATCTTGACTGTTGCTCACAGGGTCGCCAGGGAGGTCTGGGACACTTGGGCATCAGTTTCCTGTGAGTGTGAATCTTCTGGATTTTCGGGGTCAAAACGATTTTCTGGACCATAATGGAGTAAGAATACTCCAAGCACTTTTAATAATAATAACTATCTAAGTGACTCCCAAGGCATTTAGACAGTCCTCGTTTTGCCCCCTTTGCACTCTCCTGGCTGTGTCTGGAGTTCTCGACCCTGGATTTCCAAGAAATGCGCAGATGTGGAGAGCTACTGATGTGTTCTTCATCTTCTTATTTTTCTTCTCCTTTCCCTGCATCTTCCCACCCTCCCCTTGCATTCTGGCCCTTGGGCTGTAGAAGTGTTGCCATTGTTCAGATCAGCGGGTCCCTTCTATGGAAACATAGGCTGCACCAGCTCCCTGAAGGCCCACTTACAGAGATACTGCCTTCACCAATTAGGTTAAGGGCAAAATTTTCAAGTAGCTTTTCTTTCCTAGTGAGTCTTGCTTTATTCTAGGGGCTGGATGGTGGAAGTTTTCATCCATGTGTTGTGAGAGTGATGTTCGTAGGTGGAGCCAACCACCCGTAGTCTTGCTTGGAAAGGCACCAGCGCACTGCGTCTGAAAGACACCCTCTCCCTTCACTGTGAATGACGTGACCACAAAGCACAGTGTAAGGAATCATAAACATTCTTTACACATAAATGACAAATTAAGAAGATCTTATTTCTTCAGGTCACTCAGTGCACAATCGGTATCAGTAATATCTCGGCTCCTGTGCTGTGGCCCCAGAGACTTGATAACCAAGGAAGGAGGATGCCGCTCAACGCTTATGCACTTGATTTCTACAAGCATGGTTCCTTGTTGGGACTAGTCCAAGACAACAGGTGTGTTTCACCTCTCTGTCCCTCTGTCTCTGTCCCTGTCTCCACCTCCACCATCTGTTCTCTGTCTCTGCCTCCACCATATGTCTGTCTCTGTCCCTGTCTCCACCTCCACTGCTGCCCCTGCTTCTCTCATTTCCACCTCTCCCTCTGTCTCCATGTCTTTCCACATCCATGTCCACATCTGCGTCTGTTTCTTTCATCTCCATCTCCACCACCTCTGCCTCTGTTTCTATTTATATATCCCTCTCCATCTCCATGTCTTCTTATATCTCATGAATGAGCTCAATGAATTTTAGGCCAAAGCCTTTTCACAATTTCAAGCATAGGTTCCTCATGCTGAGTATACTGGATTTTTTCCTCATGGACTAATGGCAGGGGAAAGTAGTACATTTGGGGTATTGTTATTTGGGTTGACCAGCAGACTCTTGGGACTTAGGCTGACTCACTTGACATAAAGCTGTATGCCACAAACAGAAACATTCACACATCCCCACAGATGTATTTTTATTTATTACTGTCCTAGTTATTCATTATTAAATATTTCAAAACCTCGTAACTAATAATGCTGTGCTCCCTGTTATCTGAGAAAGGTACATAAAAAATATAATTCACATGTCTGAGGACTGAGAACCTGGCAGTTGTTTTAACTCTTTGGCAGGGAAACCATTTTCAGAAACTGTATTCAGGGGTAGACCCTCTGGGACCTACTGGGAGTGGAGGAATTGGCCCAGCCACCAAGCACCTTGATGTGTGTGGTGGGAGGACACCATCAGAAATTAAAAGTGCATTTGACATAAAATTTGGAACAATCTCTGTTGAACTCAAGTATTTAAAACTTCTGCCCTCTTGAGAAATGTTGATCGTTTTTGAAAGTGTGACTCATTATTGTGAATAAAATTGTTGTGACACCAGTGAGTAATCCACTGAGTTCTTCTCTGACTCACTGGCCCCATTCACTCTCCTGATGTTATCTTTTCCACTTGGGTTTTCTCCCAAGGTCAGCCTCCCGTGTTCTTGGATGAGCTGTGCTGTGGTACTCGTGACTTTTGAGTTCACAACCCTCATTCCCACAGATTAGGTCATCGTCTGGGAGTCTGTGGCAGAAAGTATTTTGGTCAATACATCTTGACTGACAGAAGTTGTCTGTTATTGACAAACCCAACTTTTCAATATGAAATGAGAGATTCCGTGACTTTTATAGCATTAATTTTCAAAATGTTGTTTTGTTCAGGATAAACGAAGGAGCTGCCTATCAGTTGCTGAAGGACTTTGCCCTCACCATTCAGTCTATCAGGTGTGTGATGCATTTTAAATACTGGGTTCAGATTTTCTGATACGTTAAGGTAACCTGAAAAATGTTGAGCTCGTGCTTCCAGGGGCCACTGAGCCTCTTAGGTGCCAAGCATTTCAGCTCCCCAAGGACTTTGCAGAAGTTTTCCTCAACACTCTGTTGCATTGTTTCTATAATAGAACTAATTCCAAAATCCACTTGAAATTAAGTTTCACCCAGCCCAGAGCCTCAGCCCAGACACGCGGCACCAACAGGCATCAAAGCTCAAAGCCTCAAGCACCCCGAGACCCTGGCAGCCTCAGCTCCACATCCCAGGTTCCTGTTATAGTTAATGACACACAGGCAACGCGGGGGGGGGTGAGGAGGATGTGTGGGGGCTGAGAGCCGGGAACAGTGAGTGGGAACCTGTATGTCATGTTACATCTGTGGGTCCGTGAGGACACCAGGGAGACTCTGGGCCTCAGGCGAATGACAGAGCCTGATGCAGTGTCCCTAGTCCCTGACCGGCCCAGCCGGACTGCCCTTTCTTGAATTTCCTCTGTCCATTCTTGTCACCCTCACATCAGTTTCTTACGCTGCTGTAACTGGTGATCACACATGGTGTATCTAAACCAGCACAGCTGCATGACCCTACGGATCCTGAGGTCTCATGTCTAAAATGGGTCTCCCTGGGCGAAAGCAAGGGGTGTCAAGGCTGCATGACAGAGGCTCTGGGACGGTCTGTTTGTCTTTTCCAGCTTCTAGAAGCTTTGATCTAGACCCCTTCTGCCCTCAAAGCAGCACTGGGGGCAGAGGCTCACATCAGGCCCCTCTGACGTCACCCCTTCCGCCTCCCTCTTCCACTTAGAATGTCCTTGTGACAACAGTGGACCACCTGGGCCCTCCGGATTAATCTCCGTCTCGAACTCAGCTGATTAGCAACTTCACTCGCATTTGCAGCCCTGACTCTCCACGTGACCCACCAGTTTCTGCATGTCTAGGGATTAGGATGTGGACCCCTTTGGAGGACCATTATTCTATTCACCACACCCCATGTTCTGTATTTGCTCACATCTCTAGGTCACGGGAGGATTATTTTGCTTTTTTGTAGAGGCAGTTGCCTGTGGGTGTATGTGTGTGTGTGTGGGTGGGTGCATGCATGTACATATGTCTGCATGCACACGTGCATGTATGCGTGTGTGTACATGCGTGTGTGCACGTATGCACTTATGCATGTCTGTGTGGATGGACATACAGGGTTCTGAGATACATATGCTCCTGGTCAGTCTTTCATCATCTGGTGGGGTTTACTTCACTCTGCCTCCCCAGGGAGAGCTCTTCTGGCCCCGAGTCTCAGCAGCATGGGCACTTTTTACCTGTCCCTGTATTTCCATTTCCAGCATCTCTTTGCGGGAACTGTGTGGAAACGAAGAGGACAACGTGGTCTTAGCATTTGAGCAGCTGAGTGAAACCTTTTCTGAAAAATTTAAAAAAATCTGAAAACAGTCTTGTCCAGACCACTTGGAGGACGGCCATGGACGTTTTCCAAGTCATAATTTCTGATTCTGATGCGTCTTGTTAGGAACATGGGCAGGACGGAGTAGGGAGAGTGAGGCTTTGAGCTGGGGCTGTGACCGCCGTGCCGTGCTTTCCCCTGAGCCCCTGGGATGAACTGTTTCCTGTCTCTGGATCTCGGCTTCTCTGCACAGCTTAGTGACGATGTCACAGCTTGGCTGGCATGTGATCAACTGAGAAACGAGAGGATTTTGCTTGTGGTGGAAGAACCAGTTTTGCTCTGTGAGGCCTAAACTGGTCTTACATTCTCAGCATTTCTTTTCTCGTTGTAATTTGTAAAAATTCTGTTAAGATTAGAATAAATAATTACAGTGCCCTGAAGTTGAAATGTGACTCTCTAATTAATTTACATGTGATGGTGTGACTTAGATACATGGCTGTTAGGAGAGCACCTGCCAGTGAATGAAACTCCTTTTTATAAAATGCAATGAGACTTGAGGCATAAATTCTGTGATGCTTTATAATGAAACATAACTGATGTTTTAGCTTGATTTTAATTGTATGTAAGTGACTGAAGAACCACAAACAAAAAGAGGTTTAGTCTTATTTACCATTGGCCTCTTCATGTTAAATCTATGCGTCTTTCAGTCCATTTACACACATTTGCATTTTATGTAACGTGGCTTGTGTATAATCACTGTTCTTCCCAGCCTCACCTTGGATTATAGTTCTAGAACCTATTTTAGACCCTAAATTTGAACAGAGCCATTTGTGCTCAGAGCTGGAAGTCTGCTGTCTCCTGCTGTCCTGATGTCTTATGACAGATGGTCCCTTGTGTGGCATTATTTCTACACAGATTGCATCAACTTGGAAAACACCTGTGGTTCATTTTATCTGGAGATGGAGGAATATTCTGTCTCCCCAGCATTGTGTGTGCCACATGAGGGGTCACTGCTTTCTTTGGGCTAAACTGATAACATGCCCCGTAAGAATTTCTGAGCACGAAGACACCTGGAAACCGATGTGGCCTCTGCTGCCCCTTTATCTCTGTTTCAGACAATGATACACAGTACTCATCTAGTATTACATGGGTCTCCACCCCTTACTTGTAGCTTCATAAATCTGATGGGGACGTGAAGTTTCTTTTTTTTCCCATGTGACTGAGCCAGTCTGAGTCCCTGACTTTTAGGAGGAGAATAAGATTATTTCTTGCAACCTGATACTCTTTTAAAAGAGGAAGTTACACCTGACCTCTTTGAGGTGTGTCTAATGGGCAGCTTCCTTTTTGATTTTTAGCAACAACTTTAAAGAGTAACTGTTAACAACTTACAAAGAGTGAGTTTGCACAGGCTCTGGAAGCATTTTCTGCCCCAGTTGTGATCATGTGGAATTTTTCTTTGAGAAATATGTACAGAGACCCTGCTGTGATTTACTGGAAAATCATTATTACCACAATAATTTATTCCCATCTTTTTCCCCAAAAGAGGGAAAATCATATTTGCATTGGGCTTATGAACGGTTTTCTGGAAGACCCATTTATCAAAAGTTTTTATTTAGAGAAAATTGTGGGTTCATATGGTATTAAGAGAAATAATAAACCTATGCATGTGTGGTCAGTTAATTTACAACAAAGGAGGCCAGAATATGCAATATGAAGGGACAGTCTCTTCAGTAAATGGTGTTGGGAAAACTGGACAGCCACAGGCAAAAGAATAAGACTGACCGTTATCCTACATACAAAGTAACTTAGAGTGAATTAAAGATGTGAACATAAGACCTGAAATCTTAAAACTCCTAGAGGAAAACTAAGGGTAAGTCTCCTTGACACAGGTTTTGTTAATGATTTATTGAATCTGACAAAAGCAAAAGCAACAAAAGTAAAATCAACGAAAGGGATGACATCAAACTGAAAAAGCTTCTGCACAACAAAGGAAACCGTCAGAACGAAAAGGCGGCCTGCAGAATGGGAGATGCTTGCAGACCGTGCATCTGCTCTGGGGTGAATGACCAAAAGAACTCATACAACTCAATCCCCCAAACCCCCAAATACTCAACTGAAAAATGGGCAGAGGATCTGAATAGAAATTTTCTCAAAAGACATACAAATGGCCAAAAAAAAAAACCACTAAAAGATGCTTAGCATTGCTAATCCTCAGGGAAATGCAAATCTAAACCACAGTGAGACATCACCTCACACCAGCCAGAGGGGCCGTCCATGGAAGACAAGAGGTAGCAAGTGCTGGTGAGGGTGTGGAGGAAAGGGAGCCCTCGTGCAGTGTTAGCTGGAATGTAAATTGGTGCAGCCCCTGTGGAAAATAGTATGTAGATTCCTCCAAAAATTAAAAATAAAGTGACTATGTGACCACTTGAGGGTTTTTATCTGAAGGAAATGGAAACACTAACTTGGAAAAATATCTGCACCTCCATGTTCACCGCAGCATCATTTACAGCAGCCAAGACAAAACAACCAGTGTTTCCTGAGGGACGAATAGATAAGATGTTGCCAACAGCCAAGACGCAGATCAACCAGTGTCCACTGATGGATGAATAGATAAAATGTTACGTACATATGTAAAATTCAGCCATAAAAAAGAATGAAGTTTTGCCATTAGTGACAACGTGGATGGACCTTGAAGGCATTATGCTAAGTGAAATAAATCAGATAAAGACGAAAGACCATATTGAGCTCATGTAGAATCTAAACAAACAAAAAATGAACTCATACAGAGAAGAGATTGGTAGTTACCATAGGCAAGAGGTAGGGGGTGGACAAAAACAGGTGAAGTGGGTCAAAAGGTACAAACTTTCAGTTCTAAATAAGTCTTGTGATGTAATGTACAGCATGGTGACTATAGTAAATAATACTGTGTTATACACACTTGTCCCTTGGAATCTCCAGGGGGTTGGTTCCAGGACCCTCTGCAGACACCAGAATCCACGGATGCCCAAGTCCCAGAGTGGGCTGTCTGTTTCCAGGGATCCTGCATCTGCAGATCCAGCCAAGTGCAGGGAGTAAGCAGAGCACATGTACCCTGGTTGGTTGAATCTGTGGATTTAGCACCTGAGGATTTGGAGGAACGACTGTATATTTATCAAAAAAAAAATCCAAGTATAAGTGGACCTGTGCAGTTCAAACCCGTGTTGTTCAAGGGTCAGCTGTATTTGAAAGTTTCTGAGAGAGTAAATATTAAAATATTGCAGGAAAATAAAATTGTAACTGTGTGGTGGTGGATGCTAACTAGACAACATGATGATCATTTCACAACATAAACTTACAGTGAATCATCATATTGTGGACCTGGCACTCATGTTCTATGTAAGTTATGTGTCCATTACAAGAGATAATTCAAAAATAACATAGGGAGACCTATGAGGCCTTTCCCCAGTCTCCTAAATGGTAGGCGCTTGCATATAGTGCAGTATCAGAACCAGGAAGTCGATAGAAATGGAGTCTGTTGCTCAGATTTCATCAGTTTCCCATGCTCTCGTTTGTGTGTGAGCATTTAGTTCTGCGCAGTTGTGTTGCACGTGTAGGTTAGTGTACCCACAACCACAGTCAAGACACAGAACCGTCCCATTGCACAAAGAACCCTCTTCCTGCCCTTTTATAACCACAGTCTCCCCCCACTGTCTTCTGTTCCCCTTTTTCCTTCCCACTGGATCTCATACCCACCCCCCTACCCCCTCGTGCTGGGTGCCCAACCCTCCTGTCCCTAACCCCTGGCCACCACCAGCTGTTCTCTATTTCTGCGATGTTACCATTTCAAGACCCATATAAATAGAATCCTACGGTGTGGTTGGCTTTTTTCAGTCAGTGTAACTCCCTCGAGACCAGTCCAAGCTCTTGCATGTTCACACTGCGCTGTTTTATGACCGAGTCGTGTTCTCCAGTCTGGA